GTGAGGGAGAGAATATAGTTTTCATCGAGTACTTAGGTGTATTAAATTAATAACATTTCAGACATTGTTATAAATATTTTTATCCATTTCGATTTTAAAAATGTTCGAACCGTTTTAAATTCGAATTTGTTATTTCGTATTCGTATTGTATGCGTTTTAGTAGGGTATGCCATGAGAATGGACACTAAGAAGGGATTTTTCTAAATTCTCCCGCGGGGGGAGAGGGAGAGGATTAAGCTTAACCGGAAGAATGGCTTCTACTGTACTATTTTAGATGCGATTTTTTGTTTTCAACTACGTTTAGTCTTCATTGAGTACTTAGGTGTATTAAATTGATAACATTTCAGACAATGTTATAAATATTTTTATATATTTCGATTTTTTTTAACCAAATGTTCGAACCGTTTTAATTCGAATTTGTTATTGCATATTGGTTCGATTATAGAACGATTGTAAACGTTCCATAAAATTGATCAAATTGAAAACAGTTCGTTTGATTCACAGCAATTCTCATCATTCTCAGTGGTAGGTGTTATATAGCAATTACTATTGTTGTTGAAATACTGAATATAAATGGGGTTTGCTTGCAAAATCCGCGCGGGCGAAGTCGCGGTTAACAGCTAGTAAATAAATAAACCTTAAAAACCTTTAAAATGCAGTCTTTTTATTTCAGCATCTAACGTCTTCGGCCAATTAACTGACCGAAAATGTTACATGCTTAAAATAAAAATACTGCATTTTAAAGGTTTTTAAAACTTATTTGTTTACGTCTCTAAACCACATCCCTTACTGTATAGTCAGTGAAAATTTCTTCTGAAGAACTACTTGATTCGAAGAATTTATAAAATTTATTTTAAACAAAATTATTATTTGATTCGCTTTTGTGGAGCGTGCTATCAGATCGGCTTGACCAATCTTGTTTCTATTTAAACTTAAATAGAACTGCTGTATTTTTATATCATAGTCAAAGTTCAAAAGATGGTTTTCTGGCTAGCTACTCCCGCAGTCTGACATGACGAGATGCTGTTTTATATGAAGAAAAAGTTTCATTATGTCAGGGTTTCGATCCATACGAATCCAGCATTTTGCCGAAGCTGATCCATAAAAAGCCAGCATCTTCGTTGTAGATCAAGAGTTATGGCCTAAAGTAGAATCTGGTGACATCATAAACTATTTGGTTTTGACGACAAATTGCACTTTTTCACAAATGAAAGCTTACAAAACTTTAGAGGCCCATAACTATCTTAGGGTGCGACTATGCATACGCGAGCGAGCGAATTTTTCGAGAGAGCGAGAATATGTAGCGAGAAGAGGCGAGACGCGATAAATATCAAAACATGTCAGATATGTGCGAGAACCAGAAATTCGCTCTCGCCAGCGTTATTTCTCGCTTCTCGTTTGTGCATGGTTATTCTTTGCGAAAACTAAATCGCTCGCTCTAAATTCGCGTCTGCATAGTCGCACCCTTACATAAGGATGGATTTCTGTTCCAGGGCTGGTTTTGGACTGTTAGTCGCCTGCGTGCCAGAGATAAGATTAACGAGAACATTTATTAGCTTACATACATCTGACTTGGATTTTACACAAATTGGGAAATTATACCCCGACTTACGCGGTTATCGCTCGGTCCCACCTATCGGGGTTTGGAGTATTACTGTATTTAGCTGCCCCTACAAATACTGATCGCAAGTAAATCCAATGAGAGCCTACTAGTACTGTATGTTGAGAGGGGTAAAAAATCCATAAAAATATTTTATAGGTATTTATTTTAATTTTATTCAAATCAAGTCGATAATACGAGCCTTTGTTCAAACTTACATTTCTGCGCCGCCATAAAATATAAGTTGCAAATTAAAATGGAATTAATTTAATGAAAATTTTCTTATTTAGTATATAAATATGCGTACATAAACATTTATTTAAATATATTTATAAATATTTAAATTAAAAACGTTGGTGCGCATCTCTGTTTATTTAAACTGAGCTGCAATTTGAAAACAATTGTAGACCGATAAATTCCCACTGTTGTCCGTCAGTTTTTCTGTCCTTCCTTATACTCGGGAACGGAGTTTGATAGATAAAAATCAAGATCAAATATAGAAAGCTTAGGAGGCTGGATGTCCCGATTAACTATATATAATTCAAAAAGTTCTTTCCAGAAAGGAGTTATAGTGACCGGCAAGTCTGTTGATATTTACAGTATAAAAAAAATAAGTTTTTAGTGCACTATCGGCCGCCAGAGTGCATACACACACTGCATACCTACAGGAACTAGCACTGACTTGTTCCAAGCGAGACTTTCTCGGCCTCCCATCCACCTTTCCTGTGTTTTATATGTATAACCTTTGGCCCAAGTTTGGTGAGATTTGTTGAAATCCGCTAGCCTGTCAGTCGTGTTAGAAATACAGTAAGACCCCGCTTAACGCAGGGGATTCCTAGACGACAAAGTGCTAAAAGAAACAATGTTAAACGAGGTCATTTTAACAGAGTAAATAGGAATAAGTGAACACACTATCAAAAATAAACAGATTTTACTTTAATTTTAAGTTATTTTTATATTAATTTGCATAATAATATATGTTAAATAACACACATGCACAGAGAAATTTAAAGTTCATTTTTTGTGATGAAAGTCCTGGCTTTTTTAAAATTCTTGTTTTTTGCGATAAAGTCGTGTAGTTTCATTTGTCGCAATTTTCTTTCCTTAAGCAAATGTCGGTAGCAAGATATCGCATCCAAAACGCCTTGTTTTGCTTTTGCACTCCTTTCAAAATCTTGATCAGTCGCTACAATTTTATTGTAAGACTTGTTTTTTCATATTCTTCTGCATGCTTCCTTGTTTTACCATGGAGGTGCTATACACACTGTAATTGGATTTTTAGTTCAATAATATATTTATTTCTTTTTCAAACTTCCAAATTTATGTTGTATGTATGCAAAATATGCATAATTTTGTGTTATAAAGTTACAGTTTGGTAAAATTTGTAACTAAATAAATATATAAATATAATTGTAAATAATAATTCAGGGAACATTTCAACACACTAAAGAACAAACACAAAATTTATTGACACAAAAATTTCCACAATATACTGAAAGCTATTATAAATATGTTTCCTTTTGTGCCAAAAAGTAATATTTACAAATGTTTATATATTTCTGAATCTGTACAATAATTTGTTTTTCCAATAAAGAAATTGCAACAAATATTAATCTAATCGATCTATTGTCCATGATAATTTACTATCACATTCTGAAGTGTTCTTATTTTATTCTTAACATTAATTTGTATGAGTACATATTTAAAATGTTATTGTTATCTACCGGACATTTCTTTTGATAATGCAAATCAGTATCTATTTTATGCATTACATAAATAATTAAAAAGTATATTCTCATCAATTAATTATTATATTTACAACTAAATATACAACTAACAAGAATTTTATGTTGCTTACAAAAATTAAAACGCATTAATTTTTATCTACAATATATAATGAAAATTATTTGTACGTGAAAATTTGATTTTTCCTTCCTTATATTCTACTGTCAACTTTATATGATTCAAAAATATTCTGACTAGATAGTTACCAATTTGATAACATTATTCAAAGTACTAGACAGGAACCTAACAACTACAAACTCTTTCCACTTACACAAACTTTAAGTTTCATTGTGTTCATTTTTCAAAATGTATTATACATTGACCATTGCAAAATTCAATTCAATGTTATAAGTTTTACCATTTTTACAAAGTTGCCTCATATACATATATATATATATATAATACATACACACATAATCATTCCATAAATTAATTATTGTATTATATTTCTTGATTAAAAAAAATTATTATTTTTTAAGTATCCTAGATTTTTAAACTTCTTCGGGAATAGCTAAAAATGTCCAGCCAAAGTTACAGCTGTTAAGACCAATTAATCTGCTCATATTATATTATCACATTTCAAAACTTTTAGATTTCACTTTAAGTAGTTTTCACACTTGCAAAACTTTAAAAAAATATACTAAAATGCTAACTGAAATGCAGTAGACAAAGGGAAGGTTAACAATAAATCACAAATATAGGTTCATGATTGAAAGTTCTGGACATGTATATTTGTAATCATAAAACCATCCTTACCGAACAGTATTTATGTAAATTATGATCTTTGTTGTTTGAGTGCAAAACAACAATTTCAATATTAATTCATTTATCAATATGATATTTGAATAATTCAATTAAATAGCACAGATTCTGGATCTTGATTAGCTAGTTGTTTTATATGGCGTAAGACGTCTTTTTTGGTAATAATACCCAACAGTCTCCTGAAAGTATAAAACAAAAATAATTAAAGAACTACAATACAAATGTAGATTTATTTTGATTTTAAACATTTTATATTTATTAAAAAGACATTTTCTAGTATAGTTAAAAACTTTCAAAATTATTTTTGTGCTTAACTTCAACTTCAACTGTCTGTAGTAAAATAAAGAAATGCCTTATTAGAAATGTAGTTTTGATGTTTAAGGCTGATTAAAATGTTTGGTTATGCATGCCTTCTCCAGCAGATGGTGTTAAAAATTTAATGCTGTTTTTTCTATGAGTAAATCCATTTTCAAAAATTCTTGCAAACAGAAGTAAGTAAATAGATCCAATCTACTTCTGTTATAGTGACTGTTACAAGCAAATATTCAATCTTGAGGAATATTGGGAAAAAATGTAACTAACAGAAAATTTTGATTTAAAATACAAAAAACATCAAGTAGCCTTCAGAATATGGTGAGCAATATTAATTCAAAACTACTTAAATATCTTGATCCATATCCTACAGCAGCTGAAACTTTCACTTAGTGAAAAGCACCAAACTTTCAACACCTTTTAATTTTGAGAATAATTAGAAGTCTGGTGGTGCCAGTTCTGAGCCATAAGTTCAGATTTTAGATGTGAGCCTGCAGATTTTTACAGAGCTCTTAAAATCAAAAATTAATGTCAATTGTTTCCAAATTGTAAATAGCTTCGTTAGAAAAAAGGAGAGGGAGAAATTAGATCAGAGGTCACCGATTGTAGTAACAAGTCAATGGGAAAGTTGACACATAGCTGTCAAGAATGCACCGTCATCATCAACAAAAGTCGATCACGTGTTAGATTTCCCACAACAATGATATAAAAGGTGCGAGCCACCAGAAGCTCGAGAGTTCGCACACAGAAGTTATAATTGGTCTTAGTGATTTCCCGTCTCCTGCACCTCCAAGAAAGGACTCAACGTAGTCCCTGGAGAAGACGACAGTAGAAGACATTGACAACACCCAACACTTCCATAAAGAACTGTCATATAGGACTCCTCCAACTTTCGATGTAATTATCAGTGGACTGCGAACTCTCTCTCCCATAATGGAAGTAGGCATAGCTGTCATAGAATAGATTAAGCAGTTGTCAATCATAGACTTTGTAATCTTATGTTAATCACATTTAGCCTATATAACCTAGAGATATATGCATTTAACTCTGTGTAGCCTCCTGTATTTTAATGTTAGCTGTATAATAAATGCTTTGTTATTTTGTTAAACCTGTCTCCTGTTGGCAGGCATCCTTTCAGAGACACTGAAAGGATGCCTGCCAACTTGCTCACCTACCTCGCCACTCAATAAAAGCCATCTGAGCGACAACGTGGGCAAGTTTCACTAACTTGACATGTAAGTGGCAATTAGGGAATTGACCCTGTGCCCTCGTAGTCTCACATAAGTATCTTCTGTTTCCTTACTATATTCATCTTGCATTACCATTGTGCAAAAAAATGAGAATCCAGGGAAGATTAGAAAGAACTATGTCTCTTGAGTAATAAGGTTTTGCAATGCTTCACTGAACTGATTATTTCTCTAATCGTGCACAACACTTCAAGCTAAAAACTCAGTCATTTCTCTTTCTACAAATCACAATGAATTGAGACTATGTACATACAGTTTAGATACTTGTAATATAGCTAATATTACAAGTATCTAATACTAGTCACATATTTCTATTCTTGCACTTTTTCACAATGCTATGGCAGATGATCATATTTATCAATTAATCCTTATAATATGATTAGACAATTATTCAAGATTTGATGGCTATTCTGAACAGTTTAATATTTACATTTAGAATATCTTAAAAAATTTATGAATACAATCTACAAGTATTCTAAAGTTTTATCATTAATTTAAATTTAATTTTATAAGTTTACAGTATCAATGTTAATTTATAATTGTAACATTTTATTCATTCATAGAAATATACACAAAAATCCCATACCCATTATGAATCACTAAAGTTTGTCGTAATCCAAGTTTTCTAAACATATCAATGACTGTTTCCATTGGGGTTTGATCAGTAATTGTGATGGGTGCCTGTAAATACGAAATAAATTATCAGTATTATTACAAAATATTAAGATTTAAAATTCTAGTGATTATAACTAACAAATGGATGTTTTAATGTTTGCATAAATTAAATTCATTTATATTATAAAAATATTTAAACAATTTAATATAATAATCTTATATTTTATAAAATAATATAAATCATGTAAAACTCTGTCAATATTAATAGCTTACCAGATCTAATATTTTACGTAGCATAACAGGAGGTGGACCAGTCCAAGGACTTGGAACATGACTTACAAATAAAACCTTAGAACTTCCAACAATTCCTTCTTGTGTTTTTTTAGCATTCATGAGAGCCAAATGTAAATCCCTACGAAGAACAAATCCAACAAGGTATTGTGACTCTTGGGATATAACAACAGGAAAGCCATTATGATCAGTTGTCTTCAGTAAATATTCTGAAATATTTTAAAAATCATCATATTAATTCATAGACAATATAATTTCAGTAATTTAATAAATAATCTAATACAGTGGGTGATTGGTTAACGAACAGTTCAGATAGCGAACAAATTGGATAACAAACACTTACGCGAAAGATTTTTATGATCGGACAACGAACACATGTTCGGATAATGAACATTTTACTGAACAAACATAAAAAAAAGCGAAGGAAAATAACAAATACCAACTGATTTTCCCTTGTCTTCGGGTAACAATTCGAAACTCAGGAGATGTCAACATCGACGCTCAACCCTATATCGATTGGATAGTATAATATTCCTCCAAATTTTGAAACTCTCCTTTGTAATTCCAGCTTTATGTTTACCTTTCTGACAAATAATTTTTTATAGTATTCGTGGGACTGTTGAATGGGCACACGTTAAGTTTTGCATCAGGGTTTATTTACGAAAGGCGAAAGTTTAACCGTCCCATCAGATATTCGTTAACATTTTAATACCAAATTTTGAATTTTATCCAGGCCTCGCATTTAAATAATTTTTTGTGGGCTAGTTGATTTCTGTTCCCTGAATTTTTGTAAGTGCTTTTCTGAACTTTTTATTTAAAATAGAAACTGATAATATTATGGAGCCTAAAAAGAGGAGTGTCAAGAACTGCGCTCACAGTAGAAACTGAGTAAGAGATAATAGCCAAGGTAGAGAGTGGACATGAAATGTCTGATGTTGCTAGGCAGTATGGCTCAAACAGATCTACAATAGGCACAATTTTAGCTATGAAAGATATATCAAGAAGTCTCAAGCTGCTAATGGAGTAATGAAAATCACATCTGAGAAATAAAGAGCATTTTAGAGCTCATAATGGAACCTGAACTGATCTGACAACAGAAGAACTCCAGGAATGTCAGAACAATGATCATCCAAGTGGCATCCAAACTGGAATAAGGTTAATGAGGTTGGGGATCTCTACAATTACCATACTATTAATTATTTCCAAAAAATCCTGAGAAAAAGAGAAAAGCAATCGACATTAGACAGATTCTTTAACCCCCACAAACAAAAAAACATAACTAATAAAAATGTGAGACTGCGTATATATGTGTTTTTACTATTACATATAAATAAACATAGTAAAAAAGTAAAAATTTTTATTTTTTGGAGTCTCCGGAACGAATTAATCAAATTCCCATAATAACCTATGGTAAATCGATAATCAGTTAATGAACAATTCGGATAATGAACAAAGCCTTGGAATGGATTATGTTCATTAATTGATCACCCACTGTATTTTGAAATGTGTATACAAGTAAATTTCAAACATTTAGTCTGTTATTTTTAAGTTAATATCACTAATAAATACTTAAAATTTGGCACATTTTTCAATGTAATATTTGTTATGTATATAATGCTTCTAATTTTGTTATTGTCCTGATTTCTAGAGTTTACAAATTTCTCTATACTTATTTACTTTCTTTAGAGGAAAATTTTAAATATTAAAATGTCAAAAATTACTAAGGAAAATGTGTAATATGTTGCAAATAGGTTACACTTATCTATATATATAAAAATGAATGTATGTGTGTGTGTGTGTCTGTCCTTCATGCATTACCACACCGTTTATCCGATTGCCATGAAACTTTGGGAAGTTGTTTAATATACTCCGGCAAAGGTTTGTGGCATAGTACGATTGCCATAAAACTTCGGAAAGTTTTTTAATACACTCCCGCGAAGGTTTTTGGCATAGTACATTTATCCTACGGTAGATGGCGCGCATTTACACGAGCATTCGAGCACAGTGTGTTCGATCGATTTCAAACTGTGAAGACCATTTCCCCCTTCAAAAAATATTTCTATATATGAATTTGTGAACTGTTATTTACGATATTCGTAATAATGTTTGTTTAATCACTTTATTTCAACTTTTTTTGTTAATTACATATTCACTCGAACTTTGTTAAAACTTTAACTGTATACCGAACAACAACCGAAGTTGTAGAAGGAAATTCGCCTATTTTACCGATCTAGGGATCCCC